TCTCTCTCATAATTTAACATTAAAATCGATAATTATCGATCATAACAAACAATCAATATTTAAACAACCGGAATAAGAAGATGATTATTGAATGTTAAATTTTGCTCTAATTATTATTATTATTATTATTATTACAATGATGACGTCGACGGCGACGTAAGACAAAAGTTATTAATTTATTCTTTGATAAAAAAAAAATTTAAATTTTTAAGGAGTGTTTTTAGAATGAGTAGGAGGGTTTAAAAAATAACCGACGAGTTTTTTTTTGCAATGCAGACGACGTACAAACGAACAAACGAACAAACAAACGATATTCAGCAACGACAACAACAATAAAATCAAGGATTCCAACTTTTTTTTTTTTATCGATTTGATTTTTATTTTTCCCACAGAATCTTTTTTTTTTTTTTTGATAAATCGATGATGATGAAAAAATTTAAAACGATTTTTTACAAATGAACGAGTTTTTCTTCTGCCACGTCCGACGCCATTAATTTATTACGCCATATTTGATTTTATTTATTAACGATTTTCTTTTTCATCATCATTTTTTTTTTCTTTTCTTTTCTTTTTAACTAACTTTCTACGTAAGAAAAAAACCCTAATAATAATAATAATAATAATAAAATAATAATGATAATAATAATAATAGTATATTATTTTCAGTCTAATTGTTTTTTTTAAATAAAAAATTTCTTTTTTTTTTTTTCTTTTTGTTTGGTCATGCGTCAAAACATGCAATAGATTTCATTTCATTTTTTTTTCGTTCGTTTGTTTGTTTGTTTGTTTGTTGTTTGTTATTGCAACAACAATAACAATCAAAATAAAATCTGATTAATTACCGATAAAAAATAAATTAAGAAAAAAAAATATTAATAATAAAAACGATAGATAGAAACAAATGAGCGCGAAAAAAAAGGGGGGGGGAAATTTATCGTGTCATTAGACAATTTGAATTTTTTTTTTTTAAACTACTTTTTTTTACCGTCATATTTTTTTAAACGAAAATAATTAAATAAAATTTTTATAACGAAAGTTAAAGAAAAAAAAATAAAAAAAGAAAAAATTTCATTAATTAAAATACAATTAATTTACACGTCATTTTTTATAATAATAATAATAATGATAATGATGATAATAATAATAATATAAAAAAGTTGTCACTACAATGGAAGAAGAATATATATATTTAAAAATAATAAAAAGTGAGAAGAAACACGATTTGTTGTGTTTCTTTGTGTGTTGTTGTTCTCTGGTAGCAAACAATGAAATATAAAGTTACTGATAACTCATT